CTTTAAAAAGCTTTTTACTAACATATAAAATTTCTTTAAAAAAAATCAATTTTTTTTAAAGAAATTTTATATGTTGGTGAAACATTTTTTAAAGATTTCTCAAGAACCACCAGGTCGATTTTAGCATTCTTACCACCATTAGATGCGTCTTGATGAGCTCTACAACTTTTGTTAGAAGCCCAAAAGTGATTTACTTAATAAAAAAGTTTTAAAAGAAATCTCTCTACATTTGGCTTAATAGTAAAATTTACTTATAAAATTTGCAGATTCTCTCTAGATGATAGATGAATTGCCTATTAAAACATTAAAAAAAAGATTTAATTGTATTATGGCATTATATAATCCACATTCCTAAAGGCAATAATAATTCATATCCTACAAATAGTTTATCGGTTTATCCTAATCATATGAATCAACTACGGGTTTTTTAACCTATAATGCCTTCTCTAAATAAAAGAAGATGACAACTTCAAACCACTAGAGAATCCAAAGCTAAATGCACATATTCAGAAAAAAATAAAGCAGTATGCGATGATAATGAACTGAATAATGCACTAATAGATGAAGAGTTAAATGATAGTATTTGGGTAGATAAGAAAATTGATGACAAAGCTGCTAATTACTTTAAAATTTTATTATCAGTTAGTAGAAATAGTGATGTTTAGAAAACTTCGAGTAGATCTGCTTTTAATTTTGGTGGTTCTAAGAGAATATTAAGGTGAAAAATGCTAAGTTAAAAAAAGCTATGCAAAACACTCAACCTATTACTTTTTACTTATCTTCTGTATCAGCTTATTCAGTAGCACCTAACGTTGCTTTGACTTTAATTTGTACACTTCTGGCTATATAATTAATGGATATAAATGTAGTAAATAAGAATGTAGTTAATAATAATAAGGTTAATAAGAATGTGGTTAATAAGAATGTGGTTAATGAGAATATGATTAATGAAAATGTGGTTAATGAAAAGGCATGTATTAAACTAGCAATTAAAGAGTTAAACAATATGTTAGAAAAGGATAATGGACATATAGATAATAGAATTAAGGTTTGCTTACAATAGTGTTCCTATAAACTGAACTGAACTAAACTTTTGGCCAAGTTCAAGTTCAGTTCAAAATTAAACTGAACTTGAACTTTTTTTAAAAAAAGTTCAGTTCAGGTTTAATATTGAACTTTTAAATCAAATTCAGGTTCAGTTCAGGTTCAGTTCAAAAGTTTATGAACATGTTCAAGTTCAATAAATTATATATATATATTATATATTGTCAAATAATCTACCTTAAATAATAAGATATTTTCTTTTTTTAGAAGAAAAATATAAAATTTTTTAAATCTAAAAATAAGCTATTTATATAATCA